TGGTGCTTCTGGTTTTGTCTGAGCTTATCTATTGTTTGGATGATTTGTTGGAATTATAAAAGGAATCCTTGCTGGGAGGAGCAAGCTTTTGATGTGGGCGATGGATAGCCCGTTAGCTTGACCTGGTGAATTCTCTGAAAAGTAAAAGCTCAATATTATTTTGAAATGAAACTGTTGCACGTTTCCTTGTGTCCATCTTCTCCCTTCAAGGCTTAAGACTGGAGCCTGAAAAGGGCTGAGTCAGCAGCTAGCAGGGGCACGCCTTAAAGCTTTAAATGACGTGTTAATGCGGGGATGGAGAATCATCTCGTGGCCTGAAGTGCAGCATGGAGAGCCAGGAGACCTGGAGCATTTTCCTGGCTTCTCCGCTGAATTTATTCAACAGCTTTTTAATGTTCTGTCTTGGATCCTTTTGAATGGGGAGACCAAAATACAGACTTTTAGGATTACGTCATTAATATCTGGAGGCTGTTAAAGAGAGGTGTGAGGAAGGAGCCCTCCAGTGAAGGGAATAGCCAGCACAAACCAAACCTCTCGCAAACCCAAGCCCAGATTTGTTCTTGGGGAGTTCAGCATGTGCTGAAACTTCCTTTAAGACTTGAGGAAAAAATGTGTCTGAATCTTGGTCACAGCAGCAGAGGAGTGGGTTTACTTAGATAATTTTCCTTGTTACATTTTGGTTTTATGGCTTATGATGATGCCACCATAACTGTGCGTGTGCCCTTGGCTCCTGTCTGATGCTGTCTGTGTTTTTGCTGCTTTAGATGCTCTCCAGTGAGCCTGTTGCTGAATTGTTGGTGCTCTCATTGAAGAGATACTGGTACACTACAGCTGATGCCATGTAGCTAAGGAGAGAGGTTCCAGGAGGAGCCAGGAAAGAATAAATCCAGGACTTGTGTGGCTGTTGTCCTGGGGAGGGAGAGAAGTGGTGTAAAATGTTCTGTACTGCTTTATGGGTTCTCTAGGCAGGTCCTGCGATGAAAGCTGACCCAGATGGTATGGATGGATGCATCCACCAGAAGATGCTTGAACCTCTCTGGTCCATAACTCCCTGTTGTCCCCCCTGACCAATCTTGGTAGGAGACGAAAACCTGAGAGCCCTTTCCCCAGCGTACTTGAGCTGCTGTTTCTCGTGGAAATACTAAAATAACGCCTGTATTCAAATTCCGCTGGATCCTGCTTTTCCTGCCATCGGGACTGAGTCTGAATAGTTTCTCTTAAGCCCCTCAATAAACGAGACCTCTGGGCATGGGCAGGTTTTATTTCTGGGGCGGTGCAAACACTGTGAAAGCTTTGTCTCTGGATGTCTGAAAACTATTTTGAAGCAGATGGTAATGTGACCTGAAGGAAAAGCCGGAATGTGGTTGCCAGCACACACTGCCGTGTTGTCTCCTGAAGCACGCAGCATTGCTGCTGCTCTGATCTTGGGGAGAATTCCTCTGGGATTCCCTTCTGCAGGTAGAATGGGACGAGAAGGGAGATTTCTGAATGGTTTTCCAGTACCTTCCCCTGGACTCTGGAGGAGCACCTCCTGATCCTCGCAGCATCCTGACAAAGATGAGTTATGATGCTCCATGACCTGAGCACTAAACACGTGTGCCCTGAGACATTTTTCTTGGCGAAAGTGCAGGATTGTGTTCATACAGGCTTGTTAGAATTCTTTTTTGCTGGTCAGGCTTGCCTCTGTGGAGCAGGGGGCTCTCAGGCAACCTTATCCTCCCTTACCAATCCATCCCATCCTCCCCTTTCTGCAGTTCTACAGTAAGCTTTTTTTTTTTTTCCCTTGGTCTCTCCTGACTCCCAAAGTCTCTGAGCTTTTGGGGAACAAAATCAACCCAGCCTGCCGTTGCCTTTTGGAGGCTCCTGGGTTGTCTGACTCAACAAAGCTTTGCCAAGAGTGAAAATTACACCTCCTGTGTTTACTATAATCTAAATTATTATCTCCCTGACTCATCTTGGTATCAATTAAAGCAACCTGGAAATCTGTTGTGACCCCCCCGTTCCTTCCAGCAGCTCACGGACCATGAGGTCTCCCCGTGCTGTGACTTTTGGAAAGGCTCTGGCACCTTGCAGAGGGCTGTCTGCTTTGTTAATTAACACTTCAGGGAGCACCGCTCTCAGCTGGGAACGATTACATCCTGCCTCTGAATGGTTTCCCCAAATTGCTGTGTCTTTTGGCTGAAGTCCTTCGGTAAAATGACTCGAGAGCTTTGGTTTGAATAGAAAGCGGTCTTGGAGGCTGGGGCTGCACAGCTTGGAGCTATTGCTCCGTCTCCGCTCACGAGAGACCCCTGTTAACGGAGCTGTTTGCCTTGGCAGGATTGGGGCGAGTGAAACACGCTGACCTGCTGGTTATGCACTGTTTGTTAGACCTTTTTCTCCTGTAAAATATTCTTATTTAGTTTCCTATTGAGCTTCACTGGAGTATCTCAAACCCGGAGGGGGATTTGGCGTATTCTGTCATTGCGCCGGTGTGCTCATCATCTCTTGGGAGGTAGATGTCCTCCAGGGCTTGATTGCAAGGCTGCTCACCTTTATCTGTTTATTTATTATGTTATCTGCCTTTTGCCTTCCCCAATACCCTCCGTGTGGCTGCCTGTGACACACCAAGACCATCCGGATGCTTCCGCAGGTCCCAGCAATATATAAACTGTCCTTGTGCATGGGATGGCCATGGGAAAGCCCAGGTGACTTCTTTAGAAACCCAACTGTGCAGCTTCCAGCTAAATCAGAGCCTGGCTACCCCTCATCTTAGCTTTTGGAGAGAGTTTTAGTCCAACGTAGTTTTTTGGTTAATATTTGCTGAGGCTTTTGAAAGCCAATTGATGCAGTAGCAGGAAACAAACAGCCACAGGAAACGAAGCAGGTCAAAGCAGATGTTTAAAGAAGATTCAGGTTTTTCTGAAGACCAGTAGGCTTGTGGTTCTGCGAGGCTTGAAGTGAGACCACCCCCCCTTCGGCATTTTTACTTAGTCCTACCATATGTTGTTATTCTCTGTTATGGTCTAAGGGGGTTGCTTGACTTTTTTTTATACTGTTCACGACAATTGCTCTGCCCATGTGTTTATCCTCTGGGCTAAAACCCATCCTGTATCCATGAAAACCCTTGTAAGAGGTTGCTTTTGAAATCCGTGCTGGTAGAGTCAGGCACGTCGGACGCGTACTGCTGTGACTCAGGAGCCTTTTATTTCCCCACAACACGTGGATCCTGCCCTGAACGCTTGCTTTGGGAAATCCCCTTTGTTGGCTGCTGGAGGGGAACAGCCCTGTGAAAGCAGTTGTACTTCCTTCCCCTCTCCCCCTCCAACTCTCTCTGACGTGGGGCAGGAGTTCATTTCTTCCTCTCTCTCAGCATCCTGACCTGCAAAAATCTGAAAATAGACCTTGTTTCCGGAGCAGAATTCCTCTGATTGCCTGATGAAATTTTACAAAATCTCAATCTTGTGAAACCAGCGTGAAAATACGCGGCTCCTTGAATCCAAATGTTTACTTTCCCAGAATTTTTTTTGCCACATATACCCCCCTCGCCTCCCTGATTTAGTTGGACCTGTCGTAAAGTCTCCCCTTGCTTTTCCTGACGTCCAAGGCTAGACTTTTAACCCCCACGCCTTCTGCTCCATTTGTCTATTCCTTGGGCAAATGCTGTTCATCCCCAGGTCTCTTCAGTAGGAAACACGCGCTCACCAGCCCTGTTTAACACAAGGGGAAACTGAGGCACAGCCCTGGACGTGACCCCCCTGAGGTCAGTGTCAGAGCTGAGGTTCGAGCTGATATCTCTGAAATTTCAGGCTCGTTGTCTGGGATTTTGGAGACATCTCCTCCTTGAGCAGCGTGAAAGGCTGCTTGATGTGCTCTGCCGTGTCTCCCTATGACTGTGGCATCTTCTGGCCATTTTTTTAGGGATACCTAAGACCTAGAAAAAAAAAAAAGGAGGATTTTAGTTTCTAGACATCTGGTTTCGGAGCCAAGTCTTTCTCTTTTTCCCTTCTTTTTGGTGGTTGCCAGGAAATAACGGAGCTTTAAAGGACTGGGGTGGTTTTTCCCACTGCTCTCTGGCATTGCTTCATTGGGAAACTATTGAATCCTCCATCCCGCCATGTGCTGGGTGCCTGGGGGGGTACAGGAGTGGGAAGTGGGCAGAAAAGGGCTGAGATTTAACCTCTGCACAACATCTGGATGAAATTCCTTTTATGAGTCAACAAGTTGCTGGTTCATACCTCCAGTGACGAGCTTATTTCAGGGTGTAGCATCTGTATGACAAGTCAGTCCCTATCCAGATTTGGCAACCAAAAACTGGAGACCGTTAGCCACTACTCCGTTGGACAGACAGGGTTAGCTAAGAGTGCTTCTGCAAAATGTCCACGTGCAGGAGCAGGTGTTGATTCTCTACAGATGAAACCAGCTGAGCAGTGACAGCAAAAAGTCTTCTATCATCTTATTGGGAAACCTCAGTATAAATACCTCCCTTGTGATCGTATTATAATACATTTCATTACCTTTCAGGTTTTCCACTCTTTAATTGATGGTTTTGGCTTCTTTATTGAAGGAGGCATGGGAGAGAAATGGCTCAGTTCTGTGCTGGGAGGATTTGAACCAAGGTTTGCTGGAGCCACTCAACTCCTGGCTTTGCAGAGAAACAGGAAAATCAGTTGCTAGCACTTGCGACCTGTAGAATTTTGCCCTGGAAAAAAAAAGTATTTTCCAGCTGAAACTCTTCGGCAAGTTGACCTTAACTTACAAATGGTTTTAATGTTGTTCTTTTAATTTTTTTTTCCAGTTTGTTTCTCCACCTCCCAAGAAATAATTTACTTGACTTTATTTTTTATTTTTTACGGACATAGTCTCTTCCATGGTTTTATACCCTGCTGAAGCAAGAGTCCATGTCATCACCACCCTCACCCAAACTTTTCTTTCATTTCAGGACAGCCACACAGCACCTACCTGCACTGACCGGCAGCTGCTAGCCCAGGATTTGGCTCTGAGAACTGTGAGCACTGAAAATGGAAAGTTTTCTGGTTTTTACCCATAACCACTGTTTCATCACGCTCTTCTTCATCTCCCTGAGCCCGCTGGGCTTTGCCCAGGATTGGCCCTACCTCCCCGGTTACCCTGAGCCACCCCCCCAAGTGTACCAGCCGCCCCCGAGGCCACCAAACGTCCCCAAGATCCAGCTGCGGCTCGCGGGGCAAAAGAGAAAACACAACGAAGGCAGAGTGGAGGTGTTCTACAGCGGCGAGTGGGGTACGGTGTGCGACGACGACTTCTCCATCCACGCCGCCCACGTGGTCTGCAGGGAGCTGGGCTACGTGGAGGCGGTGTCTTGGTTACCCAGCTCGAAATACGGCAAAGGAGAAGGTAAGGGAACTCCGGAGGGATGTATTAGATGTCTCTCCAACCCCCAATAATTCTTGATTTATCAATTAAATTTAAGATGGGGTGATATTTCCTGTGAATGGAACTGAAATGGGTTCCTGGTCAAGCAGCACCTCTTTAAATCAGGGTCCCGTTAGACTAAACAGATGAAATAATAGAAGTTTGCTTGTTTTGACTCTAACAAGGGAAGGGATGAAGAGCTGAAGGAGCAGGTGATGGTGGGTGAACTCTGGCAGGGGATGCTTGGATGAGGGCAGGAGGCTCTTCAGCAGCCGATGTGGCTTGGTAAAGGGAAGCCCACACCCACAAGAATAACATATAGATGCTCCATTTCCCTCAAAACCCTCCTTCCTCCTATTCTTCTTTTCCCCTCTGAACTGTTCAGGCTCTAAACAGCCTGCCTATGGGATGCTATGAAAGTCTTTTCCCCTGTTAGCCTCTCTAAAAACACACGGATCATATTCACCGGTGCAGGCTAGCCTATCAAACCCACTTTGTGTCCTGTATGGGGCTGTATTTCTAATAATCCTCTTGGACACTTTATTTTTTTTCCCTTTGCACAGAACAGAAGGGATGTGGGGAGGTGACCCATCTTCTTAATTTAATTTTGGGGGAATTTTTGGAAGTTCCTGGTGGCTCACCCCCAAATTGTACATCCTTTCTTTCCCTTCGAAATTGTACGTGGTGGATTGCACCTTATTGTGTCTCATTCCCAAATAAGAGAGGGGGAAAAAGACTTGGGAAGGTGAATGTTTGTGTGTTATAGCAATGGATTCTCAAAATCGCAGCGCTCGAGAGAGAATAGCTCTGTACAGGATATAACTCAACCCTTTTGATGTGCTCCTTTTGATGTGCTGCGAGTTAAATGTTGAGTATTTTTTCAATAGCTCTGTACAGGATATAACTCAACGGATTTAATTGTCGCCTTTTGATGTGCTGCGAGTTAAATGTTGAGTATTTTTTTACGCAAACATTGAAGCCCAGCACGCTGTTGATGTAACCCAGAGACAGACAATTCCCACTGCCGCAGGGATGAACGTGCTGTGGGCGTTACTCAGCACCGCTCGTCAGTGCTCGCGCTGCAAACATTGAAGCCCGGCACGCTGTTGATGTAACCCAGAGACAGATAATTCCCACTGCAGCAGGGATGAACGTGCTGTGGGTGTTACTCAGCACCGCTCGTCAGTGCTCGCGCCTATAATCTCGCCCGTAAAAGAGCGGCTGCGCTGCAATGGGAAACCTCGAATGTTGTCCCAAGCTGTGGATTTTGGCTCTTGGGGTAGTGTAGGAGACTTGTGAGTGAGAGAGAGGCCGTGACATTTGAAAACAAACCAGGAGTAGATTGCTGGGATTGAGCTGGAGGGACACACTCTGCACATCAGAATGGTGCTGGGTAAATCCTGCTGCAGGGAGCTCGTGGAGTGGGTGTTGTGCCCTCCTCAAACCCCAAAGCTGGGCTTTGCAGGAGCTCTCTCTGCTTTTTTAGGGAGGATGGAGGGGGCTGGCAGATCCATGTCTGGGAATTAACCAGCTGAACCTGTTGGGGCAAAGCTGGGACAGCCACGGGACACAGGTACAGAATCTCCTGGCTCTGAAAGTCAGGCAACACTTTCTGTCCAAAGGATGTGTTACTCTTCAGACAAGCAAAGTGTTTGGGATCCGAAAATATGGGAGTTGCCTGTTGGCTCTTGCTCCCTGCAGTTTAGGGGGCAAATCCCATGGAGCAGCATGTGCCCAGCCCATTTCCAAAGGGAAGATGGGCACTTCGGAAGGGAGGATCTCGGAGATGCTGTTGGGTCTTCTGCTCTCAGCTCCTCCTGGGAAAACATGATGTAAAGTTTGGAGGTGACACCTATTGATTTTTGTCTGCTCAGCTTAGAAGTGAGTTCTGAGGGACCTGACTTGTTAAAATGTAACATATATAGAATCAGAGAATTATGAAGGTTGGAAAAGACCTCAAGGATCATCAAGTCCAACCACCACCACCCAACCCACAAACCCATGTCCCGAAGCACCACATCCACACGTTTCTTGACCCCCTCCACGGATGGTGACTCCACCACTTCCCTGGGCAGCCTGTTCCAATGCCTCATCACTCTTGCAGTGAAGAAATTTTATTTTTTTATATATATATATATATATGCATGCACACATGCATGCTCATCTGCATGTGTGTGCGGTTCTTGCTGGAGGGCAAGTGGTAATTACAGCCTGGAAACTGGATCTGGCAATTGGTTTCCAAGGAGCACCCACATAACAGGAGGCTCCAATCAGTGGTGGTTTGCTAAAGCTTTTGTAAAAATCAGCTTTGAAAAAGTTAGTGTTTAATCAAAATGTGGAACTGTCTCCTACAGAAGATGTAATGAGGATTTGATAAATGAGAAATGATGTAAAGAGAAGCCTTAAATACAGAAGGAATGATTCAATAAGTGAGATGAGAGGGCAATGTCTTATCAGCCGAACCGAGGGGACCCGGTGGCACTGCGTGTTTCGGAGCGGCTGTCATCAGAGGAGGTCACGTACCACCATGAGCAGGGCTGCAGCAGGGAACCGCTTCAGGCTGGTGGGGGGTATTTTATTTCCATGCAGATAAGTGAAAAGGAAAGCTGCGGGGCAGAGCTGTGTGCAGGTGGATTGGTGATGTTCCTTGGCTGTTGGTTCCGACTTATTTTAGCCGTAATCTCCTCCCCTGACACAGTGAAGGCACAGCAGCCTTGCTTGCTTTCCTCTCAGCACAATCTAGATTTATCCTCTTTGAGTCTCAGTTTTATTTTCTTTCCCCTTCAGGGAAAATTTGGCTGGACAATGTCCACTGTAATGGTAAGGAGACCACCCTGGCAGCATGCACCTCAAATGGTTGGGGAGTCACCGACTGCAAACACACAGAAGACGTGGGAGTGGTCTGCAGCGAAAAGAGAATCCCTGGCTTCAAGTTTGACAACTCGTTGCTTAACCAAATAGAGGTAAATGTACTTCAGATTACAAGAGCCTTCTGCAGACGGGGATGTATGTGTCCATACGTTATAGGCTATCCCAGCTGCACGCTCTGGTTAAAGCAAACTCTTGATGGGGCTTCTAGATGCTGGATAAAGATGCAACTTTCCCATTTGAGTTTCAGCTGTTCGAAGCGTTATGTGTATAATAAGAATTTGAAAGGGATTTTTATAGCGTAAGAATAAGTAAGGGGAAAATATATTCCTTCTATTCTGCAATCACTTTTCAGAATTGAAAATTGGTTTATTCTATTTCGAAGAATGAATTTGGAGAGGTGGGATATGTGATGTGCTCATAGACCCTTATATCTGGGTGATTTTTTTGTCTCATAGTATTGAATTACTGAGTCTTCTTTCCCCTGATTCCTCCTTTTTGGTACTGGGAGCGGTTTAAGGGTCTCTGGTATGACAGCGAGGGTCAGCAGGTAGCCTTGGCTTTGGGGATGGGCTCACAACTCATGGCTTGAAATGGGCAGATTTATAAGGAAAGATAGAAAGAGATTTTTGCCCGGTTTGGCTAAGCCATGGCAAAGTAACCATGATAGCACAGAAATATTGGTGGGTATGGGGGATTAGTACTGGAAGTGATGGAAGGAGTTGAAGGGAGGAAAACGTGGGCTGGTCACTGGGGGAGAGGCTCTGGATTGCAGCTGGGTTGGGCTGCTAGGCTGAGGTTAAGATGTGGGGAAAGGACAGAAGCAAAAAGCTTGACTTGTTGGATTTCTGCAGAATAAAGAGCTGGGGGAAGGCTGGGCTGGAAAGAAGTTGGGCTGAGCTCTTCAAAGAAAAAAAGAAAAATGTGGTGTGTGTTTTCCTTCAGCTTTTCAGGTTGGGAAGTTTTTGTGGTGACTGAGCTAACATCTCCCTTGTTTCATGTGCTGTGGTGTTTCGGTATGCGAATTCGGTGGTTGCCCTTGGTCAAAATTTATCGAAAGAGCCTACCCAGTAACCACAGCCAAATCTTATTTGAAGGAGGCAGAGAATCCAGGCTGCGTCGCATACCACAGTGCGGTTTCTACGGCTGGATCTTGGCTTTGTTCATGATCTGAAACAATGGATGCAGCCCTTCTTTATCACTTGAAAATAAAATTATTCTAGCGGCTATTTCACAGCCACTGATTTAGAAAGGGCCTCCTGGCATTTTCTTCCCCCGGATTTTTCCATCAGGGGTTAATGCCACGCAGCACGTTGGGCAAGGGGAGATACTACGCTCGGTTAAACCTTCTGTCGCCCCGCGGAGGCTTTAGGAAGAGCACCGCATGGGTGAGCGGGTGCAGATATAGGATATGAGAGCTGAAAAATCTTCCTCTCCTCGACCTTGCTTCACTTGGCTAAGGATGGAAAAGAGGCTTTCTGGAGGGATCCCAGGCTGCCTCCATCAATGGCACTGTTGTTGCTCGGGGAATGAGGCGAGATCATGGAACATCAGCGATGGCTTTGGCAGACGCTTCCCCGAAGCCACAGTGAATCCTCCAAACAGGCCTGGAAGAAAAGATGCTTTAGTCTAGACGGAGGTCACTTCACTCTGAGATGCTTCAGATGTTAATCATAAAAGCTTTAGAGGGTTTTGCTTTTCCATTAGCTAAGCACTGGAGGTTGACTAATGAGTTGAACACGTTGGGTAATTGAGGGCTGGCTGGTGCTGCGAGAGTGCTTAATCTTCACAAATGATGAGTAAAATGAACCATGAGACTGAAGCGGTTCATGTGGCAGAAGCCTGACTCACCAACAGAGGTGTAAGAGAAATCATATTGTCCATGTCCGGGCAGCTCTTGGAAGTCGTGTATGGATGAGGGCATCCACTGATGGGACAAGTGACAACATTCCAGCAATTGTTAAGGGTGACTGAAGATGCTGAACTGGTGGGGAGAAAAAGTGAAATAGAAGAATAAGTTTATTTTTAAGAACCTGCCCTATGCTGAGAGCTGTCAGCCTGGCTGTCCCCATGGCTTTGTCCTGATGGTAGACAGTAGCGTGCTATTTTCTGGGCTGCTGTCACCCCCAGCTCTGCGTCTGTGCGCTTCTCCCCTCCCTATCACTGCTCGAATTTTAGGAGCAGCTTGGTACCATACTGCTGCCTCTACTCCACAAAACCAGGCTGATTTTTCCTCTATCCCTATAAGATCACTGCCAGCTGGAGGGCTCTTTTTCTGCTGGTTTCACTTCAAAAGGTGATGTGCTGGAAATTTTTTACATGCCGTCGTGGAAGTGCTTTTCAGTCGCAGCTAGCTGTCAAATGTTTAAACCCCTTCCCCCTGTCCCAGCTTTCCTCCTCTTCTTTATCTTTGCTTTATCTCAGTAGCAGCTGGTGGGACATAGTTTGAGTCAAAGATGATGAGCAGAGTTACTCATAGGGTCACCAAGTCCAAAACGGGGAGGTCAAAAGGCTTGTGTGAACGCAAGTTAAGAGTCTTTGCCCTCTCGAACGTGCCTGGGAATTCTGCATGTCATACCTCGCATTCACCAGAGGAAACATCATCTGCTGGGTTCTTTCGTCCGGAGCCCAAAGCTTGCCCGAGTGATGTTTCCTCATTGGAATGAGATGAGGGGTCTGGAATTTTTGACTGAGCAGCGATGCTGTGGTTGGGTCTCCGCACCGGTCCCACTGGTTTCAGCTATTGCACCCCCAGAGCTAAACCAGTACAAACTTCCCACTGAGATTTTTCCAATGGAAGAGATTTCAGTCTGCCCAAAGCAAGCTTGACTCAGGATGGCTTGCTCTCAGCTGATGTGTTCAATTACACCCTCCAGTGTTGCTTTCCCACAGCACTTAGTAACGACTCTAACAATTCCCAAATGGATCTGACTGTTTGCAAAGGGATGTTTTTACAGCCAGCGGATTAACGGGAGCAAGCGCTGGCTTCAGCGTAGGTTCGTGCGGCGGGGTAGGAGCAGTTTTGTTCTGCTTTTTTTCTAGCAAGCATTGAGGGGAAATATACTCCTCGTGCAGCCCGGTTAACCCGTCCCCAAACATTCCCTACATTTCCCTCGCCTGTCATAGGGAGCTCTGTGTTCCCGCTGCCAGGCACAGAGGGACCATCTTAAATTCATCATTTATAAAGTGTCTTAAAGACCCAGTTCTCTGGGGCTGCTCAGATTTACCGTGGAAAGCCAGCAGGTATAAGACAACATCTGACTTCATTTTGACGGGGTTCCAGCTCACAGGGGCTGTACAAATTGACATTTTCTTCTGATCTGGCCACGCTTCCTAAAATCAGCCAGGCAGAGAGTTCGCACTCTTCTGAAAGCAACACGATAGCCCTCGAGCAGAGTTTATTTTTATTGGACAGTGTACGTACCTCCGTTTCCCAGTTTGGAAATGCTGCAGATAAGTGGTATAGGATGAAATTTTCCATCACCATAAACCACTTGGCTTATACATATATGCTCAGACTGGTCTTTTCCCGTCACGGCTCATATTTGCAGGGTTACATCATATCTCTTCCTGTCCCTGAGCCTTTCCGTCCCCTGCCCTGGTGGGAAGGGGCAGTGCCTGACCCTTGCTTCTGTCGGTCACAGCCCCAAGTGAAATGTCTCCATCTCGGGTGAGTGATGGACGAGCTGGGATAAGAAGATGGGAGACAGGCAGGAAGAGGTTAACTCCTTTAACAGGACCGAGCTTGAGGCAGATCTGAAATCCATCAGTCTCTTGCTAAAGGGCAAAGAAACACCCATCATTTTTCACTTGCTATTTTCCACAGCCACTGCAGCTTTTTTAGCCTTGGGGCTTGTTCAGAGGATTATTTCTTGGAGGGTGATGGATGTGCAGAGCAGGACGGCCCTGTCGGGGGCTGCTGGCTGGTCAGAATTAGCCTGATTCCCCTTCAGCATCAGTAAACCGTTGAAAAATGTTGCTCAGTTTTTCAAAGCTAGGAGAGAAGTCTTTGCTCGATGCTGATGTGAGTGTAATGCCATCCAGTGCATTTCACAGAGGGGCTTTTCCCCCTCCTCTTTAAAGTATGTAGACTGAATACACAGAAAATTTCTCATTAATGGAGAGAGCAGAGCTTGTAGTTTGACTTTCTTATTACCTGGGTGCCTTTGGGAGCATCAGGAGGTGAAAAGAAAGGATGTGTCCTGCTGGTACCGCATCCTCTCTCTCTTCCTCCAGACTCAAGAGAGGAAGCTTCACGCCCTGAAAGGGTTAAAAAATAAAAAGCAGGAGCTGTGCTTTGGAAGTGCTGCAGGCTGTGGCTGAGCACGGCTTAACCCAGGAATTGTATGGGAATGTCAAGGCTGCCCACAGCCATGGGGATGGTTGGGAGCTGGCAATGGTGCAGAACCTGCTCGCTTCCCTCCTCCATCTGCCCATCCTGTGCGATGGGGCCAAAGCTGTTAATAACACCACTGTTTAACTCAGAGGTGGATTTTTTGCTTGCATTCCTTCTGTTTTAGACACAGCCTGGAGTAAAAGCTCTGTTTGCACACTGGAGTTCCCATCGGTGGCTCGATGTGCAGCGTGGGTCTAGCCACGATGGCACAGCACGGTGCCCGCTTTGCTCATCGTAGGAGCTCTTGTAGGCGTTGCGATGTGGCAGGCACATTGTGAGTGGTGTCTTGGGAGCTCAGAGGAAAAGAAAAGTTTAATCATGTTGGTTTTAAGTGCTTGAAGCCTATCTGAGGATGCAGGAACTGCTTGCTGACTCGGATGGAATTGGGGAGAGACAGACAGTAGGTGCTATAAATCGATCCACTGAGCTGCAATAGTTCAAGCTTTGTAAAATAGAACAAGTGGGATCTGCTGCTTTAGCCGAAGATCTCTGAGCACGTGGAGCCATGTGTTGTCTTCCCCAGGTAAGCACGTATCTTTAAGGTCTTTTCCAACTGAAATGATTCAATGAATCTGTTCTGCAGGTGGGGGCTGAATCTGTGCATCCAGAGTGTCCTGAACTGCCCCCTCCTTCCACGGAGGTGTCACGGCCAAAGATCAGGATCAGATCCATGCAGAAGCGCAGGAGGACTGTTGGTTG